AACCAGGCAAAGCTGAAGCTGCGTGTGCTCCTTGCTGAGTCAGGTCGGTGCAGTAAACAGGTTCCACCTGAGCTAAGAGACGGGTTTCTTTTACCACTGGCCAGAAAGGAGGAGCCTTACGACAGCGGGAGAACTCAGGACCAGATTTTCTGGTCTGCCACTAATGTTGTGTGTCTTTGGGAGGGGCAGCCTGTGTTCTCATTTGTAAAGTGCAATTTAGACATGGGGCTGCTTGCTGTCTGAGGTTCCCCCCTGGCTCTGTCTGTCTTGTTCTGGGAAGGGAAAGCTGGAGCCATGCCCCACCCCCTTTTACCCTAAACTCCTCCCGGAAGGGACCATTTGAAAGGCTGATCAATTCATGAACTCTCAAAGATAGCAGAGGGTCTATTCTAGGGAAGGAAGCCTGAGGGGCACTATTGATTGTCTCCTAACGGAGCCAGGGATAGTAGGAATTTGGGATATTGTGGCATAATGTGATATAAAAGAGATCCTGACACTCAGTGACCCATCCTCACAAAGGAAGAAAGGAAGAGAGAAAAATGAAGGAAGGGAAAGAAAAGAAGGAGAGGAGAGGGGAGGGGAGAAGAGTGGAGAGAAGAGAGGAGAAGAGAAGAGAGGAGAGGAGAGAAGAGGAGAGGGGAGAGGAGGGGAGGAGAAAAAAAAAAAAAGCTTAGCAAGAGCCTGCAGAATTGATGAGGAACAGGGGCCGGGGAGATAGCTCAGTAGAATAAGCACTTGCCTGGCAAGCGCAAGGGTCTGAGTTCAATCCCTAGTTCTGAAAAAAAAAAAAAAAAAAATTGATGAAGAACAGAGGCCCTTGGGAAGTTGGGAACCTAGGGCCTTCAGTATGGTTTATTATTCCTTCCTGAATTCATACACAGAAAGTACAGCAGCTCCACTGTTCTGGCTGTGGAGGAAAAGGGCACTGGGCCCAAGCAGGGCAAGCTGGAGAGGCAGTGGAGGTCATCTCAGGAGGCCCAGGAGAAGCCAATCGACAGGGGTGATGCAACTGTGGGCAAATGTTACCAGCCTCTGGCTCAGGCTTGGAGGCTGCTCAGGGGCCGGAGCTGGGACCCTGGAGTCTGGACTCTTCCCCAACTCACAACTGGAAAGGGGTTAGAGAAAGCACGAGGGAAAAAGAAAATACTGAGATGAGAGAGGACATCCAGAAAAATTAGCCAGTGTAAGGAAGCTGAGGAAAAAAGCATTGCTAGTAGGCTGAAGGAGGAAAGAGAGAGGGGAGCAGGGGGAGAGAGGAAGAAGAGGAAAGGGAGCCTGAGGGGAGGAAGGCCAGGCAGGCGTGGCCAGGAGGGGAGTAGGCCCAGCACTGGTGGTGACAGATGGGTGGACACAAAGAGGAGTGCTTCGGGGAAGACAGATGGAGGGGGGAGGGAGGAGAAGAGCTGGGGGTGGGGGTGGACCCTAATGAGATTGGAATGGGCTCTGCCTAAGGAGAGGTGAGTGTGGAGGAAGAAGGGAGCGAGAGGCCTTGGGAGACAAAGGCAGAAAGCCTAGGAGGCTAGGGCGCAGGGAAGGGGGCCTCCCTCTCACCCCAGGCTGGCAGCAAAGAGAGTGACAGATTGTACAGTTAGCCAGAGTGGAGACCCGCTGTCACCTTCTAGGAGCACAGAGACAGACTGACAGAGACCACCACGTGCAAACAGACCAGCAGAGAAACTCAGAGGTGTAGATACTCCAGGATGTGCGGCCACTTTCCAAAAACAACATCTCCTGCCCAAGCTCCTCCTGCCAGCCTTACTTCTGTGACCCCAGCATGACCAGTGCCTGACAAAATAGCACCCCAGCCACTGGGCCAGTCCCGGAGAAGGGTCAGGCAGTGTGGCACAGTGAGGGTTAACACCGTCTGCTCTCCCTGCCAGCCGCCTGCCTAGTTGGGTCCCCAGGGCTCCCCGCATATGTCACCCCCACTCCTGCCAAGCCCACTGCTTCCCAGCTCCTCCGGGCCCTCCCACACCCTCAAGGACTGGGCCCAGCCCCTGTTTCTCCCCTACCCACAAAACTCCCTCCCCCAACCATCTACTTCCCTGGCCGGTGGGGGATAGAGATTTGTGAATCACAATCTGAAAAAGAGAACTCCTATAAAATGTAAACTCATGAAATCAGTCATGCTCAAGCCCTGCTCCTCCTGCCTTCCTATAGCAGCCCCCACCCCCTGCCCCAGCATTCTCCTTGCGTCTAGGGCCTGGGTCTGCAGGTGACCTAAACTGACCTCAGAGTTCTCCCCAGCTTCCCTCCACCGTAATGCCTCAGATGCAACGTCAGGGGGACACTTCTTGCCACCTCTCCATCCCTGCACAAATGTGATGGACTCACTATGAGCACTTTGCGCTCTTCCCAGCACTTTCCCACACAGGATTTCACCGGGATGTTATAGCAGGCTTGGAGAAGGCTGCATTATCTCCATTTCACAGATAGTAAAGTAAAAGCCAGTTGGCGGACTTGCCCAAGGTCCCGAGGTCTGGCTGACTCCAAATTCAGTAGACGTAGTGGCCCTTTCCACCCTACCCTGATTTTAGCTCCTCTTTGTCACATGAATGTGTTCCTTTCTGCTGCTGAATCCCTGTGGGCAGTGTGGAGCTGGGGCCCCTGGAGCCCAGGATGCTGGGCAGACAGATGCAGAGGGCAAGAAGGGCACTCCCCAGAGCCCTTCGTCCCCAGCGTCCACCCTTGAGCCTCAGCTCACACTGGGCACAGCTCAGGCTCCACACTTCAGGGATGAAGGTTACAGGGCTGAAGTGTCTGAATATGACCGTAGACAACGAGGGAGGCTGGCTAGGGAGACTGATTCCTACCCCCTTCTCTACCCAGGCTGCCCCTTATAGCTCCTTTCTGCTTTGAGGGTTTCCCTAGGTTCTGCAAATATTGTCCTCAGCATCTTAGTCTTCAGGTCCTGGGCCCCTCATTTAGTAACAGTCCCTCATCTTTATCCTTCTATCATGTCTCTCGGTCTTCCATGGATTTTGTTTCCCCACCACTGTCTTCTCTCTGCTTCTTCCAGGTGTCTGTGTCTCCCTTCTGTCTTCAAGCTCCCTCAGATTCTGTCCCCATGTCAGCATCTTTCCATCACCAAAGAGCTATTTTCCCCATGTCTGCATTCAGACCACCCTGTCTCCCAGTGGTCTCCTCCTCTTTTCAGATCTCTACCCAGTCTATCCTCCTCCATACCTTGTGTCTGAGTGTTTCCCCATCCTCCTCTCTGTCTCCCTTATGCCTGTCTCCCTCCAACTGTGACTTCCCATGTCTGTGGCCCCTCTGTGTCTGTTCCCCAATGACTGGTTTTTCACTTCTTAAAAATCTCTCCTTGGATCTCTGGATCCCCAAGTCTCCCTTATCCTTTCCCTGTGTTTCCCCCATCTCTCTCTCCAACTCCCATTCTTTCTGCAGCTCTCATCTCCCCCATGGCGCTCTCTCCTGAGTCTCTCTTTCTCCCAATTTCTGGATGGGTTGGAGGGCAGGAGGGTGGGGGAGGTAGAATTGTTGTTGCTGGGGGCTCATTAGGTGGAGATTGGTTTTTAATCAGCACCATGGCAATGATGATGCAAGAACTGAGATGCCACCTGATCCCCTGCCCCCCCAGCCCCCCTCCTCAAGCCTCCTTTCCCCTCCAGCTCAGCCCATCTGCTGGCGCCTGGGCACCTGTCTGGGCCTGCCCAGGTGGGAGTTGGCACCTCCCAGATCTGGGGGTGGGGTGAAGAGTGGGAGCTTAGGGAGGAATTATGGAACTCTCCTTAGGGAATGTCTTGCCCTGGAGAAAGTCCAAGAAAGGTTGATCATCCACAGGGAAGTGGCAAATCACTCCCACAGCCTGAAGGTGGGCTGTGCTCCTACTAAGGTCTAAGCCCATTCCAGGCATTAGCATGCCTTACTTGTCCAAGGTATGCCACCTGTCCTCTCGGGTCTTCACTAGTCACAGCTCACAAAGGTTCAATGAAGACCTTCAACAGCTGAGTAGGAAGGAGAATTTCCTTATGGAAACCCCAGTCTCTGTGCCCTCTCCCCAATCCTGCCACCCTGCAACACACGCACACACAGACTCCGGTGTGCACATGCGCAGGCACTATGGGTGTGAACCCAATCACTGCTCACTTGGGCATAACTTTACATTTCCTTTTCCCATTCATTTGATACCCCATATGCTCAAAGCATGGCCCTTGGCACCCTGGCTCCTCTTCTCTGGGCAAACCTCTCTTGTCTCCTTTTAGTCCTTATCTCTTTCTCTCAAAGAGCCCCTAATTCAGAACGGTTTGGTTGGGCTGCCCAGTCTGCAAAAACTCCATGTGGAGGTCTGTGTCCAGAATCTGACTCTGACCCTGTTCCTGGCCTGTGGTGGGTAAGTGAGAGGACGGGGCTAGAGACGAGGGTGTTGGAAGGACTGAGTCTCAGGGTGATGAGTGAGGAGCCAAAGCAGCAGCCAGAAGCAACCTGGCAAGCAGTGGGCACCAGTTTTATGGAGGATGGATGAGAACTCAGAGGGTGAGGACTCCCGGGTCCTGTTTTGCCCTTTGATGCTGTCCACTTGTTCTTTTCTCAGTTTCCCTGTTACCTCGGGAAGCTTTCATCTCAGGGAAAAAGGGAGCTGAGGAAAGGTCTGTGTTAAAGTCACACAGGGACTCTGAATGGGATGCCTGGCACTTAAATCGATCTTGCAGGAGCCTCTGCCCGGCTGCCTCTGATGTGGGAGGCTGAGGGGGTTAGCCTATGGTCCTGCCCTGGCTCTCGCCCCAGCCCCACCCCTTCCTCAGCTCTCCATTTCTTGCTTATGAAATATGCATGGAGAACAGATGTCCCTGCTCCCCCACTCCCCGCCCCCCCCAGGGCCAGCCCCCTCCCCCTGCTCCCGGGGGGGTTCCCAGATCCCTCTGCCAATGGCTGCCCAGCCTGGCTGTTTAATATTGATGAGGGGGGTGCATGGGCCAGCCAATGGAGAGCTGGGGGTGTGTGTGTGTATCTCCATATATATATTCATAGGGCTGGGTCAGCTCAGGTGTGTATGTCTGTGAGTGTGGGTGGCCCCAGTACCTGGCCAAGCCCACTCCCTCCACCTGGGCTCCCATCTTCAACATGTGTATCCCTCTCATCTGCCCTGGAACCTGGACAACCATGCCAAGCTGCCCCTGAGAGCTCTAGGAAGCTGATCACTAACTTTGCAGACGGATGAGCCCTGAGCAGCCAGAAGAGACTGGGCTCTCAACGCTGCCCCCTGTCCTGCCTTACCAGCTTGGATCCCTCAAGGGGATCCTTCTAGGTAAAGGGGAGAAACCATGGGCTGAGGACAGGTCCTTGTGTCCCTCCCTTTCCTTTACTAGAACCCCCAGCGTCGCTCTACTTCTCTCTGTGCTGTCTGCATCTCTGCCTGTCCCTCTTCCTCACCTCTCTTTGGGTCTTGCTTGTGCCTATTTCTCTTCCGTCAATGGATCAGTTTGCAGTTGGCAGAAGTACGGTGGGTAATCCTATTTTGGAAATGGAATTGGTGCTCCACTGATCCTTGGAGCCTGGAACTTTGAGACCAGAAGTAGATTTGGTGACGAGTATATGATAGAAAAATGGAAGCTGCCACCAGGACTGGAGTGGGGAAGACGGTGGGGCCAGGTAGGGACCAGATGGGGAGGAGCACAGAGGAGGGCAGCAGGGAAGCTGGGCAGAGAGAGAGAAGCAGACTCGGATGGAGGTGTTAGGAAATGCACTGCTGAACTCTTGGTTCTGACCTGGGCATGGGAAGGGAGAAGAGTCATGGGAGATGCCTGTTGCTGTCCCTCCTTGTTCCTTTGGATCCGGAATAGGGAATAAGTAGCCACAGTCTGTTTTGCGTCCTGGCTTTGTGTGCACCTGTCTTCCCCCCCCCATCAGATGATGATGACTTTGCCCCTTCCTAGAGCTTAGTCACTGTTTGTCTTGACTTGACTTGGACCTGTTGTCTGTGTGGTGGAGTGGAGCAGGGCTTGATGGGTGCTGGCCCCAGGAGAATTTCCATCAGACTGGAGAGCTAGAGCTGGGGAGGGAGGGGAGATGGGGACTGAAGAAGCCTCTGTGCTCCTGTGTGCTGTGTCTGATAATTAAGTGATGCTGAGGTCATAGTGATTGGCCCACTGTCCCTGTGCCCACTCCTCCCAGGCAAAGCCCTTTCCCCAGCCTCTCCCAGGCTCTGTCTCTCCTGCCTTTCTTGATTTGCTGTGGTCCTGGGACAAACGCTAGCCATACCTCATAAGGATAGTGCTATGAAGTTGTCTGTGCTTTCCCTTGCCAGCCACATCTGAACTGGCTTGGGCTATAGAAGAGTGTGGCATGGAGGGCTGATTATGTTTTCTTTCTCCAGTCTTTTTGGAGTCTCCAAAAGGCCAGGGGAATGGTAAAAGCCGAAGGTCCTGAAGATGGAGCTGGAGAGGGAGGGTGGTCTTGGTGGGTTGGCTGTGGTGAGGAGAGACTTCTTCCTTCCTCTGGTCAGGGATAGGACAGGGATAGCCTCTGTCCACAGAGGCTGTCGGGGAAATTTGGGGACTGGGAGGGCCTGAGACAGAGCAGCTGTGCTGAGCTCCATATGTCCCAGTCCACTCTACAATGGCCAATCTGTGTGTTTACCCACCCCACCCCCAGAAGCGAGGATGCAGAGGGGCCCCGACAGGGAGGACCATAGGGCCAGAGCTTGCAATTCTCTCCTGACTACTGGGAAAGTGTCATAGTGGAGCTGGGACTCCAGTCCTGCTCAAGCCCTCAATATGTATTGTGGTAAAAACAGTTCATAAAATGTGCTACCTTAATCATTTGTAAGTGTACAGCTCCATGGTATAAGGTATGTTCATGTTATTGTGAAACAGATCCCCAGAACTTTCTCCCCTTGGCAATGGGAAATTCTATACTCTTTAAAGAACAGTCTCCCCACTCCACCTTTCTCTGGCCCCAGCAACCACCATTCCAATTTCTGCTTCTGTAAATTAGATTACTTTAGACACCTCTTGGAAGTGGAATCACTGGTATAATTCATTTAGTAGCCTGTCCTCAGAGTTTATCTGCATTGTAGCTTTTGACAGGAAGTCCTTCCTTTTCAAAGCTGACTGACATCTATGCATGGCCGCATTTTGTGTATCTCTCATCCACTGATGAACATTTGAGTTGTTTCTATCTCTTAGCGACTGTGAGTAGTGCTGCAGAGAACATGGGCAGGCAAATCTCTCTTTGAATCTATATGCCCAGAGGTGGGATTGCTGGGTCATATGATAGTTCCATTTATTCATTTTGTGAGGAGTAGCTACACTGTTTTCCATGGCAGCTGCACCACTTGACAATGCTAACAACAGGGCGGAAGTTCTTCTGTTTCTTTGCATCCTTAGCAGCATGGATTTTGTTTTAGGTTTTGTTGTTTTACTGCAGCCATCCTTAACGAGGCTGAGGTGATAGCTCAGTGTGGTTTCGATTTTTCATTTCTAGGGATTAGTGATGCTCAGTATCTTTTCATATGCTGGTTGACCATTTATACATCATCTCAATGTCTTTTCAAGTCTGTTGCCCATGTTTTAAGTGGCTTATTTGATATTTTTAAGAGATGCAGGACTTCTTCATACATCCTGGATAGTAAACCCTCAGCAGATAGAAGACGTGCAACTATTTCCTTTCATTTCATAGGCTGTGTTTGCATGCTAGCACCCTATTCTTTAATGTACGGTAGTTAAATTTGATATAGTCCCATTTGTGGTTTTTGTTTCATTGTTGTCTGTCTTTGGGTATCATGTCCAAGAAATCACTGTCAAGTTCAATGTCATGATTTCCCCCCATGTTTTCTTCTAAGAGTTACAGTTTTAGGTCTTCCCTTCTCTTGTTCAGTCTTAGGCTGTCTGGTGTATCCTTGTCATCATTTCTCTCCCTTCGTGTTACTTAACTTACTTATTTTTGTACTAGAAATTCAATCCAAGGCCTTCCAAGTTACACCCCACCCTCCTCATTTTTTATTTTGAAACAGGATCTCGCTAAATTGCTTAGGCTCCAACTTGTGATCCTCCTTCCCCAGCCTCCCAGAGGCTTTGGTTGCGGGCATGAGCCACCATGCTCCACTTCCGGTCCCTTTCTTTTTATCTTTCCTTGGTACTCCTTTCCACACCTGCTGTCTCTTCCCCTGCCCCTTTTTGCCCCCAAGTTTTTGCTTCTTCCCCTCCCTCAGAGTTCTTGCGCTCCCAGCCGTCCCCACCTTCCCCGCCCCGCTATTAGCTGTCCTTCCCTTCTGCTCTCTGCCTCTGCCAACCCCCACCCTTCTCTTTCGCAGGCTCCAGACTGGACCCCTGACTATGGAAGCCTGAAGTGACCCTGACTTCCAGAGCTCAGTGGCAGACCCCGCCGGCACCCCAGGCCCCTCCTGCCCCTCCCACAGCCGGCGGTCGCGCTCCCAGAGGGAGGGGTGGGGAGGGCACCCTGGTCTCGCCCGGCCAGGCGCTTCCATCATGATGCTCAACTCCGACAGCATGGAGCTGGACCTGCCTCCCAGCCACTCTGAGACCGAGTCGGGTTTCAGTGACTGTGGGGGCGGGGCGGGGCCCGACGGGGCGGGGCCTGGGGGTCCAGGAGATGGCCCGGCCCGGGGCTCGGAGCCTGGGGAGCCCGGCCGGAAAGACCTGCAGCACCTGAGCCGCGAGGAGCGGCGGCGCCGGCGCAGGGCCACGGCCAAATACCGCACGGCGCACGCCACTCGCGAGCGCATCCGCGTGGAGGCCTTCAACCTGGCCTTCGCGGAGCTGCGCAAACTGCTCCCCACGCTGCCCCCAGACAAGAAGCTCTCCAAGATCGAGATTCTGCGCCTCGCCATCTGCTACATCTCCTACCTGAACCACGTGCTGGACGTTTGAGTCCAGCCGGCCCGCGTGCCCTCGCTGCGGTTTCTAAGCTTAGCTCTGTCGCGGGCGCCATCTCGTCCACCCCCCCGTGTCCACGCTTTCAGGGACCCGAGCCCTGGACTCTGTCCTGTGCCGTCCCTTCTCCGCTGGCGGGGACGGAGCATCAGAACGGGAAGGAGGGAAGGCTGAAGTCAGTGTAGAGAGCGGGCTGTTTCCTCCCAGACCTCAGGCTGTCCGGGCTTGGTGGAGGGTTGGGATCTTGAGAGGTGGGTGTGGGGTGTGGGGACACTTGCCAGGGGAATCTCAGCACTAGGAACTGTAGCAGAACTTTCTGTTTTTCTCGTGTCCATCTTGCTCCTTTGGCTCTGTGCATGCAGACCTCAGATGGACTTGGTAGTGAGTGCCTTGCCCTCTCTGAGCTTTTCGGCCACCTCCCCGGCCCCTCCCAGCCGAATATATCATGTTCTTCCCCCTGCGTGAAGTTAGAGAAAGGAGAGCTTCCTTCTGGGTTAGGGGACCGCATCTCTACACAGCCAGCCCAGGCGTCTGCAGAAGGCCCAGGCCCTGGGTTGGTCACAGTCTCACGCCTGCCTCCTCCATCCCAGCCCTACTCTGAGAGTGAGCAAGCCCCACACCGGTTCCCCCCTCTGGTACAAGAAGGCTTCCTGTGACTGCCCTCGGATGCTCTGTTCTCTCGACTGTTTGTCACAGTTGCTTCTCCTTCCTTACTGTGCCACCCCAAGGAAAGAGACACCCCGCTCCAGGCACTGAGCTCCCTGCAGGGCCAGCAGTAAAAGGGCAGGCCTTCCCTGCAGCTCAGAGGAGGTAGAGAAGTACATCATTTCTGCGATCTCTCCACCCTCACACCAAACTCCCAGCTCCACATGGATATTTATTTATTTATTCACCTATTTATTTATTTATTTATTTATAAATATTGCTATTTATTGCCGAGTTGTGCACTTTGAGGGTAGAGTGGCGGGGGCTCCCAGTAGCTCCAGTGGGGCCACTCTTGCTCCTCCCTGACTACTCCTTTGCTTTTCTGGCTCCTTTTCAACCCCAGTGTGTGTCAGGGTTTCTTTTGCTTGCCACAGCTGTGTCCCTCCTGTCTTGACTTCCTAGTCCTCTGGAATAGGTACCCTAGCCCCAGCCCCAGCTCTGGGGCTCTTGGGTCTTATCTCTCAACTCCCTCCATCCCCTGACCATCCACACAGTCCTGTCCATCTCTCTGCTCCCTCCAGCCTTCCAGTAGATCCTCGCTTCTTCCTACTGCTTCCAAGAGCAGGCTCCCAGGGTCTGTGTCCTATGTAAGACTCCTTCCTGTTACATTTCCAATTTCATACAAAAAGAAAAATTAAAGTGACCTCGTTCTAGCACCAGAGATGGCTGTGGCTCATTGGATTGGGGTGTTAACCTAGCCTATAGGTTACGGTAGGGTGGCCATTGAGGGTCCTAAGCTTACAAGGCTTTTGCTGGGGGAGCACAGGTCATAGAAGTTCAGTGTGGTGAATAAACAAAGACAGGGAGAGGTCTCAAGAGTAAAGAAGTCAGGGAAGATGTGACACAGGTCCCAGGCCTCCTCTCCTAGCATCCCATTTACCCCCACCTTGGCACTCACATGAGTGACACTGTCTGACTTCCCTGGTATTGTGCTGCAGCTCCTACCCACTATGGTATACGTGCTGCCGAGCACTCCACCCACTATGGGTCTGAGAAGAGGCTGAGTGTGCAGCTGGGTCCGTGCTACGGGGAAAGCCACTGTATGTGAGTGAGGCATCACTTCCTTCTCCCCTTTCATCCAGGCCAGCACAGAATTCCTAGAAGTCTTGGTTCTTAGTCTACTTGTGTCCCTGGCCTTAGAGTACTGGGGAGAATGTGACCGAGGATCCGGGACTAAAATGGGACAGGAATAAAAATGGTGCTGAGCAGACATCAAATGGATCCTGGAAAAGACCCTAAAATAAATTTCTAGATGGGAAAATTAATTCCAGAGAAGGGGAGGGCTCCTGCCCAGGCTCTTGATGCTGTATGCAGCCTCCAAAGTGACCCTGCCCAACAGGTCAACTCCACTTTTAGCAGGAACATTGATAAACTAATGATGATTCAGAATTTGTGTGGTCAAGAAGACAAAAAGTGTATGATATGTGTGCTGATGAGAACAGATTTAGGGATAACGTGGTACCTATCTTCAGATACTGAAAGAAGAAACAAAAGCAACATCTTGAATGGTACCCAAAGGTAGAACCAGGGATAATCTGTGGAGGTTCTAGGACAGCAGATTTAAACTCCCCAAAACCTCACAACTACGGAGCTGTCCAGTAATGGAAACGCCAGCCTCTAAGAAGAATCCAAGTGGCAGGCTGGATGATCAGTTCCCTTGGAGACACCACAGAGCATACCTCTGCCTTGGAGGAACTCTGGCCAGGTGTGCCTGAAGATCCTTTCCAAAAACTGAACCAAACTCAGGGTTGTAAGAGTGGGAAGACAGAGTGGAGGGAAGATACTGAGATGTCCTTCAGTCTCTGAAGGGCTTTCGTCATTTATTTACTTAGTTACTTAGGTGCTGAGGATTGAACCCAGGATCTCATACATGCTACAAAAACACTTGGCCACTGAACTACGACCCGGCCCTTCCTAAATTTTATTTTGGTAGAAACCACTCTCTTTGGAGCAAGGGGCAGGGTCTCACTAGCGGCAGCCTTGAACTCTAGCCTTAGCCTCCTGAGCGCTATCAATTTTATTTTGAGACAGGGTCTGGCTCAGTTACCCAGGTTGGACTCCAACTTGTGATCTCTGCCTCAGCCTCCCAAGCAGCTGAGGTCACAGGCATGTGCTACCACACCTAGTTAGGGCTTTTTCATCTTTTTGGATCAAACAGTGATATCAGCAGCAAGAGGGGGATGAGTTAGGCTTGGGGAGGAAGCTCTGTGTAGCAAGGGTTTGGCATCCTCTCTGTCCCCTGTGAGTGACGTGCAAAGTACTTTGCCCAGAGCCTGCCAAGAGGGAGGGGTGACCTGAGACCTGGAGAATCTGAGGCCTGCACCTGGTGGAGTTGGAAAAAGTGGCACAGGACTCAAGGACTCCAACACGTCTATTTAAAGGCAGGTGATGTGACGCAGAAAGATGAGGCACTAGGGCTAGAGCCTGCTGTGTACCTCAGTACTCTGAGCTCCAGCCTCCTCCCTGCAGAGCAGAGGGGTTAGGGGCCCCTCCTCTCCAGGGTCCCTCAGGACCTGGGGGTGGGCAGTAGGGGCAGCTGCAGCTGTTCTACAGCTAGCTCCGAATTTCTTCAGATAATCAATTGGCCTCGGCTGCTTGCCGCTCCACTGTAGGACCAGGATAGAGAAGGCCGTGAGGAGTGAGAGGGGAGGGAGGCAAGGGGACAGGCAGTGCAGCCAGGCAGAGAGGAGCTAGGCGCTGGAAGGAGACTGTTCTGTGGGCCTCATTTCGCATCCCGAACCCAGCTCCTGGACCAAGGCATGGGGAGGGTGGTTGGGGGCTCAGGTGAGTAAGCCCCTCGTGCATGTCTTTTCTTCCTCCTGCACCCTCTTCCCAAGGATCCAGCCCCAAGGCTGGGCTCCCCGGCCTTGAACTCCAGGCCTACTGTGCTTGGCTCCCCTCTGCCCTCTAGCTCACTCTCAGGGACACAGCAGAAGGCAAAGCCTCAGGGTTTGAGAGTGGGGGTCTCTGATCCATGCCCCTTTCCTGTACACACACACACACACACACACACACACACACACACACACACTGTCATTGTCACAGGCTGTCAGGCATATGGCCCCTTTGTGCCCGCACAATGGAGGCCCTGTCTGTGCCCTTTCCCAGCCTGGGCACAGAGCACACAGGGCCTGCTTCCCTCTCTCCATTCACTGTCTCCCCTTTCTCCATCCCCAGCTAGTGCCCACCACTTTTTCTTTTCTTCCTCCTCTCTGCAGAGGGCCTCATCTAGCATCCCACCCTTTATCTTTCTGGTCTTTCTTGTGTTGTCTCCCTGTGCTCTTGCATCTGACTCCAAGAGGATGGAGGGCAGAAGAAAGAAACAAATGGGAGCATCAAAGCCTTAGGATGCTGGTACAGGGCGGTGAGAAGAAAGCAGAGGCTGAGGCTGAGAGAAAGGATGAAGGACCTGCGGCCAAGCTCCACATTCATGTCACAATCAAAAAACCATGGACTCTCCCTGCATGTCAACTTCCTCATCTGCAAAATGGAACAATAATACTTGCCCAGGATGTTAGGAAGATTAAATGAGATTGTCACAAAGATACTCAGCACCATCAAGGCTCATTAGGATCCAGTGACACGTTGGGGACAGTAAGTAGCAGTTAACCTGTGCAGTTGTGCAGTTTGTGCGCTGTACAAGGCAGCTGGCCTGGGCATTGAAGCATCTGTTCTCCCTTGCACTAGACCAGCAGGATGTGCGTATCCTCAGAGTAGCCCAGTAACTAAGGTCCATATATGGGTTCCTGAGCACTGATAAGGACTTCAGATGAAAACTAAGAGTCCTGATTACCTTGGAAACCAAGACAGCCGGAGACAAGAGGTTATAGGGTCATTAGAGAAGAGGACCCCTGCACCCAGTCTTGGGAATAGGTGAGTCATGAAAACAACTATACTGGGAATGAAAAAATTGCAGCTGAGAAGAGGAGGATGAGGAAACAGGAAAGGAGACCCTGCAAGAGAGGACTCCAAGAGTCTTGTTGGTCTAAGAGGCCTTTCTCTGGTTTCCTTCTTTAGTCCCTACCTTAAGCAAATTTCTGTAAACCCTGATATCTGTTGTTGAACACTGCCCCCTGTTGGTCATCAGTGGAGGTGTTTTCATTCTTCCCTGTCCCTGGATGCTAGGAAACTGGAAGAGAGGATTTGACTGGGTACAAAGATCAAAAGGAGATTCGGTGGGACCTGCAACCCAGAATATGTTCTTAACAGATATTTTTGGAAGGTGAGGGAGGGCCAGTTGCTAAGAGCAGAGGCAAATACATAGGTCTTTCATTTACATATAGAGATGACAT